GAATGCATGTACACAAAGTTGTTATCTCCACATGCATGTTCATCTACTCAAGTGAAATGGTTGTCTCAAATGTCCACACCTAGCGTAAGTACAAGGGACGCGGGTGGTGCTGTGGTCTAAACCACTGAGCCTCTTGGGCTTGCCGATCAGAAGGTTGGTGGTTCGAATCCCCGTGACGGGGTGAGCTCTTGTTGCTCAGTCCTGGCTCCTGCCAACCTAGCAGTTCGAAAGCATGCCCCCAAAAAGTGCAAGTAGAGAAATAGGTACCACTCTGGTGGGAAGGTAAACGGCGTTTCTGTGCGCTGCTGTGGTTTCGGTGTTCCATTGCACCAGAAGCGGTTTAGTCATGCTGGCACATGACCCGGAAAAACTGTCTGCGGACAAACACCGGCTCCCTCGGCTTGTAAAGCGAGATGAGCGCTGCAACCCCAGAGTCATTCACGACTGGACTTAACTGTCAGGGGTCCTTTACTTTTACCTTAAGTACAAAGTGAATCTGGCTGAGTCTTCTAGTCAGATTGAAGCTGGTTTGGGGGGGACACTGGATTGAACAACAGGATGGCTTTAAAAGAGAATCAGACAATCAACAGAGACTAGGGGGAGATTTGATGGAGGGTCCTGTTCTCATTGCTCATCATCTGAACAGGGCTGAACCCTGACACATGGTGAGCAGCAAGGAGGAAGTGCAGAAAAAGATCACCCACCATTTCTCATAATGCTGGAGTTTCTGGACATCCAAGTATGCTGAATGTTGGAAGATTCAGGACAGACAAAATGAAGTACTTCTTCATGCGGCACATAGTTAAACTATATTATGCCAAAAAAGGCTGAATGAATGAATGAATGAATGGTTAAACTATGGTTGCTCCCAGAGGAGCCAATGATGACCACCAACTTAGATGGCTTTAAAAGGGGATTCAACAAATTTATGGAGGATAATGCTACTTAACTTATGTGGCAAAACTGTAATGATGGACCCTTGAGGCTAAACTTAATATACCACAGGGTTTTCTGAGTTTGCCCCAGAAGTGCGGGGGCCGGGGGAGGGGTAGAGAGAGATGCATTTTTGATGAATTCAGGTATGCAGATGTTTTAAAAATGGCCCAGCTGCTCTCAATTTTTCACATCTGTCCTCACCCTAATGCAATTCCATTATGTAAATTCCAGCATTTGCAGCAGCATGGTTAATGTTGCAGGGCGAGGTTCCTATTCCCAGTAGAGGAGAAGATAATCCACAATGCAACAGATAATAGCCGATTGAACCTTGCAGAATACAAGCTGTTCAAGAGATGCTTAGTCCTGTATCCGAAAGCTCCAGCTGCATTTCGTTAGAGGAATGCCGGATGTGGATTCTTAGCAGGCTCTCGTAATGAATAAGCTATTCACATGTCAGTGTGGCATTATGCTTATCTTATATGTGGCCAACATATAGAAAAGCAAGCCATTACCAGGATAATTAAAAATAGAATGGAGCACCTCCTATCTGTATCCACGCCAGAAGCCGATCTGAATCTCTTCCGTGCTAATTTAAGCACCTTAAAAAAAACACCCCACAACAATTCTGCATTGTAAAATGGAGCATCTCAGTCATGAAAAATTAGGATGTGATTCCAATCTCCTTCTCCCCCCCCCCCCCAGAACAGAGACTATAGTTTTATAACTATTGCAGCCTTTTCCCCATTGGCAGCGGGCAAAAACAATTCCTGCACATTCTGAAGGCAGAAAGCCTACAATGGCTATGAGAATAGTAACATAATAAGGCAATCATTATGTCATTGTCCTTGTGTGCAGGGAAAATGCAGGCACTGATTTTCTAATGCGCCATCCCTACCAACAATTTTGTTTAGGTTCATGACATAAGGTTGGCCTTGTAAAACTGAGGGGTTGGCCCACGGAGGCTGGCCCGTTAGGGTGAATAGGGTGCTGCCCCACCAACCTCAGGGTGCATTCAGATGTGGAGAAGATTGCATTAGATTTCCTGATTAGAATTCTGGCACTTTTCTAATCTTCCTCTCACACTGCAATACCTGTTGCATTATGAAGCTGAGGCTTTTTGACCAAGATTCTGGCATGTTGCTCTAAATTTCATTCACGTCAGAATCTACTTAAGAGAGTTTTTTTAGGAACATAAAAGGCTGCCATTAGTCCATTCCTAACCCATGCTGGCCACATGACCAGGAAGCTGTATGCTGGCTCCCTCGGCCAATAAAGTGAGATGAGCGTCGCAACACCAGAGTCGTCCACGACTGGACCTAATGGTCAGGGGTCCCTTTGCCTTTAACCCTACCTAGAGATGCCAGGGATTGAACCTATGACCTCCTGCTTGCAAAGCAGATGCTCTACCACTGAGTTACGGCCCTTCAGGGTTACAAGAGCCCTGAGCTCCACCAAACAGAGCTAGATACAAAATAGGAGATGGGTGGAACCAGGCGCAAAATGGTGGCTCAGAAAGGAGTACCCCAACAACACCTCATGAGTCATACACCAATATGAATTCCAGTAACAGCCAATGTAGTGTAGTGGTTAGAGTAATGGACTAAGACCTGGGAGACAGGGATTCTAGTCTCCACTACGTCATGAAGATCACTGGGTGACCTTGGGCCTGTCACTGTCTCTCAGCCTAACCTACCTCACAGGGTTTTTGTGAGGGGAAAGTGAGGAGAGGGGAAACCATGGATGCCACATTGAGCTCCTTGGGGGAGAGATGGGATATAAGCGTAACAAATAAACATAAGTGTGAACCTTGAGTTGTTCAGGGATTCAAACAGCTTAATTTGGAAGGCTGAAGAGGCATCCTTTTGTCGTTGATATTGTTGAAACAATTCAGAATCAGAAACCCTTGCAGATCTGCTGCAAATCAGCTATCAGTAGATTTATCTTCAGACCATCCCTGGATCCCTTGCACACAGAAAGATACTGTTAAGCTCCTCATCCAAAGGAAATCCATCTAATAGTGTTGCTGTCATGCAACCATACGGCACTTAGTTTTCAAAAAGGCCCACTTCCCAGTCTCCACTGCAGGGCCGGTCACTGTCATAGACAGAGTACTAAGCCAGACAAAGCTTTGCTATGACCAATGCAAAATTTAGGGTGGTGCGGGCGGTTCCCCTGCACAGGGCACCAAGCCAAGGGGGGTGCAAAGTAATAAAAAAAACGAACTATTGTGAAAACAAGAATTATACAGGGGGCGCCAACTTTTGTCCTCGTCCAGGGTGCCATATTACCAAAGCCCGTTGCTGCTGCTGCTGCTGGGATGCAGCATGGCAATGTAACTTACGCCACTCAAAACTCACCAGTGAAGTCAACGAATGCAGGTTACAGAGACAGATGCATTTCTCGACCTGCACATTGCCTGGAATTACATGCTCTTTGAATAAAGCCTTCCACGGCTCCTAATTGCTTAATTAGGGTGCAAGCTGTGTGGGCTTGCCTTGTAGGAGGACTGTCACGCTCCATCCCACAGGTGGCTGCATTAGAGTTGCGGATAATGTCGCACGTTTAGATATTCCTTGTCTGACTCACAAGGGGGCTGCCAGGCCTAATTAACGAAACTTTGCAAAGTCATTCCCAAGCCTCAGATGTGGGAGAATGAAATGCCGTTTTTGCCATCACTGCTAAAATACCCCCAGCTAAGCCCAACAGACATCGTACCTGAGCATTCAGGATGCTGATAAGAATCGCCTTTGATGGCATCTGCACGTCAAAGTCTGGGAAGCTTTTAGAGCATAAATTCAAATGGGTTGTTTGAGGTATGAGTTTCTAGTGTTTCCTACTGAGACTGGGGGTGCGGGGGAAAGGATGACTTTGTTGAAACAGACACAAGAGATGATGGAATGAAGGAGAAATGGGCGGCTGCAGACGGTGTCATTAATGCCAACACTGCCTTAAGACCACAAGGGAGTCCGCTATCCTGGCATTTAGAAAGGAGTGAAATTAGATCCATAAATAAGTGTCTGAATATGTCTGGATGTCAATACTTAAAAAAATAATAAAAATTAAATAGTCAACAATGCTTGTGTATAAAAGAGGCTAATAGTAGACCAGGAACCAGAAGGAACCAGAAAGTAAGAGGGGAGGGGGAATCACGGCCAACAGGCTAGGGATGGGAGGAGAAATTTGATTCAGTTCACATTTAAACGCTAAATCACTTAATTCATATTTTCCAAAGCAATATATGAACCGAAACATTTTGCAATGCAGTTCCCCAGCCAAGTGATGTGTACAAAAAAAAGTGTATTGGGGAGGAGTGTGCATATAAATGTGAAAATAATGTATTATGTTTGGGAAAGTTGTTTTTCATACATGTCATGTGTGTTTTAGACAAAACTGCATATAGTACATATGTGTATATTAGGAGACATTTGTGGTAAAATGATGATGACCTTTCATTAGTTGTTTTTTTTTTTAATGACAGACCGATGTGGAAATATACAGAACTTTATTTAAGGTTGGGAAAATGAAAAACCGAGAAAAAGTAAAAATGTTGTGTTTGCCCATTCCCACCACAGACTCATCATCTTAAAAAATACAGGAGACAAAGGGAGGTGGAGTGAAAGAGAAATTTGTTTTGCACTAGCTGACATGGGGAGAGTTAAAGAAAGAGAAAAAAATGTGAAGACGTTAACTAACCTGGGACTAGGAAAGAGAAAATCAGAAAATCATGTGGTATTAAGAAGCTTGCACTGAACTTTATAATCCTGGTACATGGAGTCCCGTCCCCCCCCCCCACTTTTCTTACATGTGCATCAGCATAGTTTTTTCGTTTTGTTTTAAAAAGTGCTAAGCCTGCCCCCCCTTAAAAACACTAATTTATAATTACAGCCCCTCACATTCTTATGTCTTTCCTTATTAAAATGTTTATATTTGGCCTTTGGGCCTCAATATACTCCCCCTGCCGAAGGGTTTTGCTGAAGTCAAGTGATAATTGTGACATGCAATGGTATAATTAGGGTAAAGGACTTTTTCTTTTTTAAAGAAAAAGAAAAGCCTGTAAAACATACATCAGATTTCTAGAGGAAGATTGAATAATCTTTGATTTGAAGTGTGGAAATCAATTGCAGGCATGAAGAAATTCTCCTTTCTTGTCAAATGAAGAGAAGCCCAGCTATGTGGTCAGTGGCTTGGGTTTAATAATGCAGAAGCTGAAAGACATTTAAAAAAAAAACACAACTTGACAAATCTAATCTTTTAATCCTGTCTTCTTTTTTGCTGTTTGTATACGGAATGAAGGAGATTGATAAGAAGCCATTAAAAATGCGTATGTTACTCAGCAGGGCTTTTATTCGGGAACATCTAATATTCTTGGAAATTTGATTTCTCCTCCTTCTAACAGAACACTGTCCCTTACTTAGTGTGAATCCAGTAATTCAGATTTGCATGGATTATTTTGGGCGGGGAGAGGGTGGCCCACACAGAAAACTGCCTTCTTTCTACTGATTCCTGGTCCATCTACCTTAGGGCTGTCCACAGCCTCCAGGGTTTCAAAGGATTGTCTGCCCCACTCCTTACATAGAGATGCTGCTTGGGATTGAACCTGGGTCCATCTGCACTCAAAGTACGTATGTGCTCTACCACTGAGCTATGTTCTGGCTTTGGAGAAGTGGAGCGCTCAAATCTGAAAGAGAGCAGCGAGAAAGAGAAAAGCTGGTGATGCGTTTCAAGGCAATGTTGCCATCTGCAAACACATATGGGGAATTTGGGTCATGTAGTTTCTTATCCCCACCACCACCAAACCCAGGGCATCCCTACACTGCAAACCCTCAGGGGCTTGTATCCGATTTACGTTAACTATCATGGTATTTCTGTAATATTTCCATTTTGAAGGGAGCTGAGATTTCTCTGTTATAAATCCCTAGCTTCCTCCCAAAGAACTGCAGCTCCTAAAATTCTTAGTGGAGAAAGAATAGCTTTGAAATCAGATTTACAACGCCGCCCTGTCTTTGTGTTACGCCAGCTGGATGAAGTTAGAAATGCTACTAAACCCCTTATACCACCATTAACTCCCAAGTTATTCTGCTGGAAGGAAGTTACGATCACATATCTTTGGGGAAGTGAAAACTCTTATGCTGTTTTAGCTAAGGCAGCACTGGTGGTGGTGGGGATGACGACAACTGTGCAATTCTGGGGGTCTGGTGCAGGAGCATCAATTTGGTAACCAGTCTATTTCTCCCCTCCCTTACCAGCATAAATTTATGGCAGCGAAAGAGCTAGCAGAACTAAATTCATAGAACTCAATCAACAATATAGTGTGCTAGGCCCAGGGGTAACCCTTGAAACACAGTCCAGGACCAGTCCAGAATCCGGAGGTTCTGCTAGGAGTCAGTCCGACAGGGCCAAGGCAGGATACGAGGCAGGAAACCAGGCAAGGACAGGTACAGGATCTCAGGCAGGATCTGGCATACAGCAATGTTGCTCCCGCAACCTGGGGCGGGGTCTGTCAGCCTTTTATCTTTGTCGGGGTAACGGCCGGTCCTGATCCCCCGGTGACTCACCTCCCTGTTTTGCCTGAAGGCAAGCACTCATCCTGCGAGTACTCAGGTATCTCCTTCTCTCAGACCTTAGTCTCTGCAGCTCAGGAGACATTGGTGGGTTACTAGACCCAGGGGCCGCCTCAGCCTCCCCTGACCCAACTGGTAGTGGAGCAGCTGTAAGTGATTGCCCAGCTGAAGGCAACAAGGTAATCTGAAGCCAGGGCAGGCTCAGGCCCCTGACTCGGCCCAGCTGGTGTTTGTTGCAGGGGAACCTGTGCAGACTGGGACTCTTCAGGATCAAGCCCCAGACTTGGTTCCGATGATGCCTGAGGCAAAGGATCCGGTGCAGACTGAGACGCCTCTGGTTCCGAGTCCGAGCCCGAGTCCCAGGCCATCACATATAGAAAGTTGCTCTTCCTGATCACTTCCTACATCTTCTTCTTCTTTGGCGATCACTTGTAGCCAAGTAAGATTGTCTTCCATAAACACGGTTTTAACAATGAGTCTGTAAGTGACTGTGGAGGCCAATTCTGGATCCACATGTCCTTCCATAGTGGGGACATTGGTTTCCGGGCAGGAGCTGATCACGGTGTGGATTTGCCAAGAGTGCCTTCCTCTTAGCACGTTTCTCCCTTGCGTCCTGAGTTTGAGTGTCTTCAAAGCCCATGACACCTTTGGTAAAGGCTGTTCTCCAACTGGAGCACTCACAGGCCAGTGTTTCCCAGTTGTCAGTGTTTATACAACATTTTTTTAGATTTGCCTTGAGACAGTCTTTAAACCTCTTTTGTTGACCACCAGCATTACACTTTCCATTTTAAAGTTCAGAATAGAGTAGTTGCTTTGGAAGACGATCATCAGGCATCTGCACAACATGACCAGTCCAACAAAGTTGATGCTGAAGAATCATTGCTTCAACACTGGTGATCTTTGCTTCTTCCAGTACACTGATATTAGTTGGCCTATCTTCCCAAGTGATGTGTAAAATTTTTCAGAGACACTGTTGATGGAATCTTTCGAGGAGTTGGAGGTGGCGTTTATAAGTGGTCCATGTTTCACAAGCATATAGTAAGGTTGGTAGTACAACAGCTTTGTAAACAAGCATTTTGGTTTCCCTGCGAATGTCCCGGTCCTCAAACACTCTGCACTTCAGTCAGGAGAAAGCCGCACTTGCAGAGGTCAGGCAATGCTGGATTTCGGCATCCATGTTGGTCCTTGTGGAACGATAACTGCCTAGGTAGGAGAAGTGATCAACATTTTCCAACGTTACACCATTGAGTTGGATTTGTGGTGCTGCAGAGGGGTTATTTTGTACTTGTTGGTGCAGCAATTTGGTTTTTTGGAGGTTGAGTGATAGTCCAAGCTTTTCGTAAGTTTCTGCAAAGATATTTAGGATGGTTTGGAGGTCATCCTCTGAGCATGCGCACACAACTTTGTCATCAACATACTGAAGCTCTATGACGGAAGTTACAGTAACCTTACTCTTTGCTTTCAGCCTGCTCAGATTGAAGAGCTTTCCATCTGTTCGATATATGATTTCTACTCCGGTGGGGAGTTTCCCTTCAACCAAGTGTAGGATCATGGCAATGAAAATAATGAATAGAGTTGGGGCAATAACACAACCCTGTTTAACACTTGATCCCACTGTGAATGGTTCACTTTGAGAGCCATTGTTTTCTGCAATTGTTACTGTCATATTATCATGGCTACCATGATAATGCATGATTATACATAGGATACCAACAGATCATTAAGATACCAATGATCTGTGTCAGTGTTGTTAGCAAAGTGACTTAAATTATGAAGGTGGAGTTCAGAGAGCAAAGAAAACCTGATAATGCTTTATTGAGGAAAGCTGATAAATGATAAATGATAATGCTTTCTCTTTCTTTCTTCAGGCTTTGTACATAGCAGGGAGACATTCAGCCATTATCTATACACAGGGGATAAACTGGGCAAATTAAATTAATTTGCATTTATTTTCTTCTGAAAGAACTTTTGGAGCAATCAAGGCTCATTTTGAACACAATCTTAACTACCCTATGTTTTCCGAATCAAATTCTACCTCCAAGTTTCTAAGCTATTATCTATGAGCCTGAGTACTAGTATTAGAAACACATTTTTTTAAAAAAAAAGCGAGAAAAGGAAAATGATAATAAAACCAACACAATGCCTAATTTTGGAACTACTGTAATTAGTAGTCTCCACTGGAGACTCTTGAGAGTCTCATGGACTGCAAGAAGATCAAACCTATCCATTCTGAAGGAAATCAGCCCTGAGTGCTCACTGGAAGGACAGATCCTGAAACTAAGGCTCCAATACTTTGGCCACCTCATGAGAAGAGAAGACTCCCTGGAAAAGACCCTGATGTTGGGAAAGATTGAGGGCACAAGGAGAAGGGGACGACAGGGGACGAGGTGGTTGGACAGTGTTCTCGAAGATACCAGCATGAGTTTACCAAACTGCAGGAGGCAGTGGAAGACAGGAGTGCCTGGCGTGCTCTGGTCCATGGGGTCACGAAGAGTTGGACATGACTAAACGACTAAACAACAACAACATTCTTTCACAGCAAAATCACAGAATATAGAGAGCAAAAGTGCTTAAAACTGAACACCTCACTTCCGGGTTAGCGCGATCGGCTAATGGCGGATTCCCTCCGAGCTCCGGAGGGAATCGGCTCTGCTGGAGACGGGTCCTGCCGCGGCAGCGACGCGGGGACCCTCAGAAACCGCAGGCGCTGAAGCCTGCGGACTTGGTGACTCGACGGGCACCTTAAGCGCCCCCCGACCCACGAAGAGCCTTTTTAAAGGCTTCGGAGAGGGTACGGAGAGTGGCGTGGTGCTGTGAGTAAACCGTTACTTCAGTGGAGTGAAGCCGCGAGCCATGGCCGGAGAGCGCTGACTTTTTTCCTTGAAATTCGGACTGGAAAAGAATCAACCCGTGAGTAGAACGGAATTGGGACTGAAAAATTTCTTTCTTTTTGAATTCGGTACGACCGGGGGATGTGCTAAAAGGAAGTCCGCACCCCCCTTCCTGCAGATGATCTAAAGCAAGAATTGGATAACTAAGGTGGAGAGACCACTCCTCTCCTTATGAGATAAAAGATACTAATTTCACGATTGGCATAAGAAGTTTTGTGCTGGAGGATAAGTGTTGAATTTTAGAAGTTGTTGTGTAACACACACACCCCGGACCCCGGGAGTGTCCTGCGAGTGAGCCTGTTGAGGAGACATAAGGAGTTTGACAGCTGTTGAGGAGCTGTCAAACGAGCTGTCAAAGGCAGAAAGATCTGTTATTTACCATCTTTGCGGATTAAGTGTGTTACAGTTAAACTTAAGTTGTTGGAAACAAAGAAGAAATAAATAACAGACTGTTGGAAAAGGATTATTAAGTAACCAGAATCCCTCTAGGGGGAATTCTGAGGCATTACAATGGCTGCAGATGGAAAATTACAGGCCGAGCTTGAAAAAATGTTCCTTCTCGTGGGAAAATTACAAGACCAGAGTACAGCTATGGCTAGAAGGATTGCGACCTTGAATTCTAAAGTAAGCAACCCTGCTGACTGTGTTAGGGATTTGACTGGAAAAAATTCTGCAGCCGAATCAGAAGAGATATTGTCAGAAATTGAGGAGAGGGAAGAAGGAGCGGAAAAAGTGCAGGTGGAAATGACCAACCAGAAGCCTACAATTGTGGAATACAAGGAAAGTAAGATGTGGTTTATGAAAACTTGGACGGAAGCTAAGAATGAAGAATGGAGTGACCTCCTTATGGGGAGATCGGAAGATTCATGGATTACAAATCTGCTTAAGATGAAAGAGGGAGCCTCTGGGACATTTGGAATATTTGGGCTGAAAAGAAGCAAGAAATATGATTGGAGCTCCACCTTTGAACATGGAGGACTGGTTGGAAGAAACTTCGATTTTACAGAGATAGAGCTCCTTCGAGACCTGCTGACCAACATAAAGGGCTACCAACAAAACCGGCAGAGAGGGACTGACAGAGACTTGAAGGCCTCGGACGTGAGAAATCCAGGCTAAGAACTGTCATTGTGGACAATTATTCTTTTTTGGGGGGATGGGACTGAAACCGGGAAGGGGGGGGATGAGAATAGAACTTTAAGAACTTTTATGTTTTTTGGTGTTTAGTT